ATTAATTCATTCCTCAAACTTTTAGAACTAACCATCTCTTTGAATTATCAGTTTGCTTCATACAGACTGGTATACCAAGGCCACCCTTCTTCATATTTTAAATCTTGGATCTGCAACATCTTGAGTATGGGGTACAGAACTAGGACAAGAGGCACACCGGCTGCACATCTGAACAGCTATATGAAACTACATGAAACTCAATAAAGCAAACTTTCGACCTAAAACCAAATTAAGTTGCACGTGCATGGGAATAAAAAGACTAAGGTAATCCAAGTTTGCAGTGTGTAGTACCTTGACAAAAAAATAATGTTTTGATTTGTTCTTCAGAACAGGTTGTTTGCACACAATCATCACCTTGAGTAATAATAATCAAAGTAACGAACTTCAGACTATAATAATCGTGTTTACTGTGCTCTCTATTCTACCACGTTCTCTAGATGATGCATTTAAGATAGTCTTTTACGACCATAGGAATTAAGTCTCTAGAAATTCCTCTCATATCCAACTACAACAATCTCAATTCGCATCAGTGAAACCAATAGATTTTCACTTCTATTTTCCAAAATGTTGGGAAGTATCCAATCTATACGACCATAGGAATTAAAAATCTCTAGGAACTCCTCTCATATCCAGCTACAACAATCTAAATTCACATCAGTGAATAAACCAATAGATTTTCTGACTTTTATTTTTTCAAAACTGGGAAGTAACCAATCTGAATTTCCATTAGACCTGCACTACACAAACCCTGAAGGAACATACAGTGTAACCAGCACAAACCCATAGGTAAAAATAATCACGACCAAAACCACAAATATAAATCTACACAAAGTCTCGCTGTTTATTATCATTGGACTTCCATGTATTTTTATACAAACAAGATTAAAACCAGTAAATCATTAGGCACATATCAGAAACTCAAAAGTAAAAAAAATCATACCAATTATCCACCAGTCACAGAATTAACCTACAAATGGAGTGCCAATATCTATAGGACTGCAACAAACACCTTGATGGCACTTGAGAGCCTTGATGTGCCTATCAGAGGTGTATTAAACTGTGGTTAACAATTAAAACAAAATGGCAAGCCATGCACGGGTTAGATCTATCGCGTTCATAATATACATGGACCGGGAGATTGTGGGATTTGCTTTTTTAATTACAACATACATGCAAATAAATGTAAACGAACTTAATGCTACACCCAAAAAATGCATTTCCAGTTTATCATTTTGCATGCAAGCAAAGAGAGGGAAATACAGTAGGATCTGAGAATAAGCAACAATCTTGAAATCTTGGTTCTATTTTTGACCTCATCATGCCATCACCCAAAATTCACTCCCTAGTCTGGAAAAACTTTATCTATCCAAAAACACAAAAAAAAAAGTCGAAGAGTAGACGTGCAATAGCAGAGCCACAACATTCTTTCCACCCTTGGTGCCAAGCCTAAAAGGTCAGATGACGTCTGCTAGGCGAATTAAGCTCATATAGGATCTATATTTTCAAGATTTTTGTCACCTCAATGTATCGCATGAGTTCAGTGCAAAAAAGATGGCGAAGTAAGCTCATATATAGGCGATTAAGATTTTTATCACCTGAAAATTAACAAAATGTTCCTTTATCAAAAAAATATAGGATCTATATTTATATTTATATAAGAAATGCCATGAGTGCAATGCTACAGCATAATTGCTATGCCATTAAATTCCAGAAGTCAAATGAAATGTCCAGGCAGAGACACTAGCACTTGTTAGGATAAGAAAATATACAAAGAAGGCTTAACAGGTTGCATAATTACAAGTGTCATTGCAATTGTTTGGAAAAATATAAGGCCAAGGTGTGAGTTGACTAAAAACAATGACCAACGACCATTGGGAATTAAAAGTGACCAAAGAAAATACAAATAATACATCCTACACAGATTATTTAGCTCATCTCCCATACGACCAAGACTCGAGTTTCAACTTTGGAAGTGCATTAGGATGTCAACACACAAGAATGACTGGTAAATCATAAAACAATAACAGATAAAGTATATGTCTGTTGGGTTATATACTTATATGTGATCACTAATCAAGGTGCATTTGATTAGCTTGACAAATAAGAAAAAAAAGTTACTATAGGTTCACCTTTGAAACAGTCGACAAAAGAAATCCATGGATAAGGAAGTTGGCATCCTTGCTGCCATGTTACTCCCACTTTGGATGAACACCTAAGAATATACCCTGCAAGCATTCAAGAAACTGTTTGTTGTAAATGAGACTATATGGAATAGGAAGAGTTTTAATTGTATTTAACAATGCATCATTAGCAAGCCATCCAGTGCATGGACATAGTCATTTAATCTTCCGACTATTTAATGTTCAGGAACTTTTACCAAGCAAATAATCCAGCTATGTAATCAAAACCATAAAAAATACTGATTGGAAGGGAATGCAACAATCCTACTCCTATCCATGTGGCATACACATTGCCCCAACCTTATAGTACAAATAATGTTGAAGGGCAGAATGTTGTGGAGTTACCAAAAATGGGACACACCTTTGTATATGTTACACTGTAGCGACTTGGAAACTTCTGTCTTCATTTTTTTTCCTTGAGACCTCAAGGGTTCTTGTTGCTAGGGAAAATATCGAGCTGGGGAAACGAATCTGCAGATGTAAGACACCACAAAAATTCAGTGTGCCGGTTTGAACAGATCTGCCCCTAAGTAAATTGGAACACCCACCGAATCACCCCCTATGTCCACACAAATAAACGTATATATGATCTTCTAAACCACGTGCAATAAATAACAGAGAAGAACAAAAGAAATCCCAGCACTGCAGGTTCTATAACTAATGGTGTCACTAACTGTTTTTTGGCAATAAACAGTAAAGAGTGTGGTTCAATTTGAAATATGGTTTTCTTAATTTTATAGTGAATGTATGCGTAGCTACACCAGTTTTCCCTATAGATATAATTGAATAAATAGTGTTCAGAACAACAATTCACACAATGGTAACTACATACATAATAATCTAAAAAAAACTCATCTTTTCTTCAATTGTACACCTGTTATTACTGAGCAGTACTATTTTTGAGGACCTATAAAAGAAAAGAAGAATGGTAAAAATGAAGTTGTGGAGCACTAAACCTGCAACAACGAATCAATTTTTCCATCGCCTAAGTATTCTGCAAAATGATGATTTAAAAAATTTGAGTGCCATGTACATAATGGTGCCCACTCCAGCAAAAACATTTCTATATATAAAATATATTGGTAAGGCTCAGAATTACCTATAGGGTTCAGCAGGAAAATAAATTTACACATTTGTATAGAGAGTGGCCCTTATTGTTTACCTTGAAACCCACAACATGTCAACCGAAAAAATGACATTGTTGGTCCTTTGTTGGGCCATGTCCATAAATCATTCAATATTGTAGGTGTTCGTGTGCTAATTTCATAAGCGCTCTATATATATAAATCTCTATATATATAAACCAAGAATCGATATTAGTAAGGCATACTACAATTAATGAGTCAATACGCCAACTATGAACAAACATAGTGGAAATCCAATGCATACTCGCCTTGTTGGTCTTGAGTCACCTTGGCGTCATCTCTCACAGAAAACTGAAACACACCAAAACCAAAGACCAACAAAAGGAAACACAGGCATAAGAGAAAATTGCTGAATCGTGGAGTGGCGGAAGAAAGGGAATTATGGGGAGGATATGTGGATCCAACCTGTCGCCGAAAGATTCGCCAAGTTGCTAGCCGATGTGGCATGAGGACGCACGCCATCCCCATCCGGAGGGGCGTCGGCCGTACGATGACTCTATGGGCCGAGATCGAGTGGCGGCGAATCCCGTGTAGGGAACCAAGAGGAAATGAGCAATTAAAGAACAAAACAAAACCCTAGAATCATATAAGATCATACAAAACATCAGACGAGAGGAAGGATTGGGAGGGGAGCGGTGGGGAGGGGAGAGTTGATCGGTACCATGGAAGAGAGTTGAGGGGGAGGAGAGACGCTGGGGGAGGGCAACGGGTGGTGAAGTCGTCGTGGCTGCCGCAGGTCGCGTTCATTGCGAAGGGAGGAGCCGCCGCCGGAGGGGAGGGTGCTCGTCGCGGAGAGAAGCTGCCACCAGAGAGGAGGAGCGGCTGCCGGAGAGTGTGGTCGTCACGGGAAGGAATGGTCGATGGATCCGGTCGCGGTTGTCGCGGGTTGGATGCGACGACGGAGCAGGCGCGCACAGCGAGGATGATGGTGCGGCCGCATGGGGGAGAGAGCGGGATCTCGCGAAGGGGAGCACACGTGCGGCGGAGGGGGAGCGAGCGGGATCTCGCGATGAGAAGCAGAGCGGGATCTCGAGCGAGCGCGCGAAGCGGAGGAAGTAGAGCGACGAGGTGGGCTCACGTGCAGTCGGTCCCACATGCCGACGCCTTTCATCGAGTCACGGGAGGGTATCGCACAGAGGGGAGGGAGGAGCGACAAAAAAAAGTCACACCAAAAAATTATCTTACTTTTGTTCTTTTTAGTTGTAGGAGATTTATGGATTAGCTTGGTTTGGCTATTCTGAATACATATGACACGTTGTGCATGATTTGTGAGCTAATAGCATAAACAATCCGTGTTTCATCTTTAACATTCGGGGAAAAAATAATTCTGTTAAAAAAATCATAGTAAAAAGCAGGATGAATCCTAGAGAGACCAGAACCTGTACTTTTTTTTTCGAGAACCTGTGAATCTCTTTCATTCATCGCTGTCAACTTCTTTCAGTTCATCGCCGTGTACCAGCGACATGCGACAATCCTACCCGTTCCTTGGTTCCACAGCGTCCATCGCGGCCGTACGTTGCTTTCCAGCCTTTACCCACAGCCCAGCCTCTCTCGCCGTTATTCCGACTGATGGGGCCCGCAGCCAAACCACCTGCGCTTCGAGCGAGGCTCCGGCGGCCGCATAGAAACCCCGCTTCCGGCCCTAAAACCCTCAACCCTAGCCGCGCCGCCCGTCATGTGGCGCCGCCTCCCCACCCGCCGCCTCGCCTCCGCCTTCCTCTCCTCCTCCCCACTCCAGCGCGCCGCCACCACGCATGCTCCTCCTCTCGAGCGCCATCTCCCCACTACGGTCTCCGGTCTCCTTCCGCCGTCACGCTTGCCCCCGTGGCAGCAGGAGCCGCGGTGGTTCGCCTCCTCCTCCGCGGCGGAGGCTGTGTCCTCGGAGGATGCCGAGGAGCTGCACCACGCGATAGAGGAGATCGTCCGGGCGCAGCCGAGTCAGAATCTGCCTCAACCTAAGTCGGTGGCAGAGGAGCGGCAGGCACCCGGGCGGGGCCACCTTGGCCGGCATAGGAGAAGTGGGCGCGGGCGGCATGTGGAAGTGATGGCGGCGGAGCACGGGATGACGTACCACAGGTACACCTCCCTTCGCCGGCGGCAGATCCGCGTCGAGACGGAGGCGTGGGAGCAGGCCGCCAAGGAATACCGTGAGCTTCTCGCGGACATGTGCGAGCAGAAGCTCGCCCCCAACCTACCCTACATCAAGTCACTCTTTCTTGGCTGGTTCGAGCCGCTGCGGGACCAGATCGCCGCTGAGCAAGAGCTTGTGGCAGACCCCGGGTCCCGGGCCTCGCACGGCCCCTTTTTCAACATGCTCCCTGCGGACATGATGGCTGTCATCACCATGCACAAGCTCATGGGGTTGCTCATGACGGGCAGTGGGGACGGCAGTGTTCGAGTCATCCAGGCCGCGTGCCAGATTGGCGAGGCCATTGAGCACGAGGTGTGTGAATTGTTGCTTGGAGGGTGCTTCTTGACTGGGGGAATTGACGCTTCTTGTTGTTACTTGTTAGTAATGTGAAGTCCATGAACATCGGTGGAGGTTAATATAACGAATTTGTAGACCAAATAAATCTAAACGGGGAGCTAATAATATATCTGTTCTTCTCTCAGTGAACTATTTTTCTTTCATCATGGAAGTAATCTATGGTTAGGCATCATTGCAAAGCAAAAAAAAAATGATTAATATTATTTTAGTCAAAGAATGTCTATATCTGCCATAGATGAACTTTGTCAATCATAATTGACAGACAAGCCTCCCTTATTAAATATAAAATTTAACTTCTTGGAGTAATTTAAGGGTAGGAACTATTATTTTTATATTGGTACGGCAGTAATTCAATGGTGCGTTTGGTAATCTGGCAATTTCATATTCTCTGTTTGAACCCAAGTTTGTAGCAATTTTATTAATTTCATGTTCTCTGTCTGAACTCAGTCGTCTAAGTATGAATTTCTAACCAGTGCCCTATGTCTTTGAAGGTGCCATAAATATTATGTATTTCTCATATTTTTTACCTTGTTACTACATTTTATTTGGTTTGAATAAATTTATAGTTTGGTGTCAACTCTTTAACGCATAACCCATTTTAGTGACAATATTTTGTGTCATGGTATCAGATGCTAATAAACCATCGCATATTGTTTTTTTCATCTTTCACTAGGTTCGAATAAACAGATTTCTGGGGAAGACAAGGAAAAAAAGCAACAAAGAAATGGAAAAGGAAGAAGAAGCTGCTGTTGACACAGACATTGCCAAAGAACAACAGCGTCTAAGAAAGAAAGTCACTGACCTAATGAAAAAGCAAAAGTTACGGCAAGTAAGGAAGATAGTGAAGAATCAAGATAATTCCAGGCCATGGGGTCAAGATGCTCAAGCAAAAGTCTGAATCCTATGTTAGATATTTGACTTTGTGTTGTTTTCCGCCCAGCGCCTATTTCGAATTTTGACATTTCCTATTATCCTTTGCTGTTCTACAGGTCGGTAGTCGTTTGATTGAGCTCTTTATGGAAACAGCACATATACAACCACCTGCAAGCCAATCATCAGATGGTCTGCCTGACATCCGTCCTGCTTTCAGACACGAAATGAGAACAATGGCAAAAGAACAACAGTAATAGTGTTACCTTTCCTTCCTTTACTACAAAATTGATTCTTGATGGTCTATCCATAGGTCATCTAAAAAATTTCTGCCGTTGGATTAACTCCCAGGTTTTATTAGCTGGGAAACGCTTTGATTAGACAACTATAGGGAAAAGCTGAAGGTTTATTTAATTGCATGTATACTTCCATGTGCTATTTATTAAACTATTTTGTCACTTTTTAGAAACTATATACATAGCATACATGTGCTGAAAGGCAATTAAAGATCATTATACATTAGGACATCCTGCAGCTAAATGTTGGCGATATGCTAATTTGAACTACTTCCCATGCAATTTCAGAGCTGTACTGACTATTTATTAAAATATTTTGTCACTTTTTATAAACTATATACATAGCATACATGTGCTGAAAGGCAATTAAAGATCATTATACATTAGGACATCCTGCAGCTAAATGCTGGCGATATGCTAATTTGAATTACTTCCCATGCGATTTCAGAGCTGTACTGACAAATATATAGCCAGCTAAGTTGTAAAGATAACTAGCTTAATATTTTTCCCCCTAAATGTAGTTTGTTATTTTGCCTAACCTATATTATCATCTATTTTTAATTTAACAGGAAGAATAGTCGCAGATATGGTGTGATCAAGTGTGATCCACTGGTCCGGCAAGGCTTGGATAGAACAGTTAGTTGACCCTCTTACACAAATCTTGATTTATACTGGAATTCTTTTCTCCTAATTTTGCATTCCTTGGTTACCTGGGCATGTTCTCTTGAACAGGCAAAGCACATGGTCATTCCGTACATGCCTATGTTGATTCCCCCAATCTGTTGGACAGGGTCTGTATTTGTTGCCTATTTTCTTCATTGGTTGTCATATGATGCATCTTACAAATTGGACAGCACTTATGGTTTGGAACTTTGGCTTTTCTTCTGGTATTATTACATACATAATGTTATTGATGGGAGTAATTGGAAGGACAGCCACCTTTATATTAGTTCAGCGTCTGGTCCTTGTTTATGCTAATAGATTCTGTTTGATCAGACTATTACTTCTATCACTTTGCATTTCTGGATAAGTATTGAAGTTATTCCTATATTTTTAGTAACATAATGCTTATAGTTTTTGCAATGTTAATCTGTCAACTAATTGTTTGGTACCCCTAAAACTTTTTATAGATATGACAAGGGAGCACACCTCTTTTTACCATCATATGTAATGCGCACCCATGGTGCTAGACAACAGAGGGAGGCTGTTAAAAGGGCTCCAAGGGAACAGATGCAATCTGTTTTTGAGGTAGCTTTTTTTTTTGGTTTCTGACTTGTGCAAATTCGATGAATAATCTTTTATAGCATACCTTCTTAAATTCTTTTATCCATAACAACTATGGGATTTTGAGTCCACATCATGGGATGGTAGAGCTAGACTTGAGGGGGCTCTGAATTGTATTGCCCACCTCAAAGTAACAATTTGCGTGAACCATTTGGTACATTAAATTCAATAATTTATGCAAGAACATGTGTACCTCAAATTTCATTGTTTGATGTCCTGTTGGTTTCAGGCCTTGAATACTCTTGGGAGCACGAAGTGGAGAGTTAACAAAAGAGTTCTTAGCATTGTTGACAGAATATGGTCAAGTGGTGGCCGGCTTGCTGACTTGGTTGATCGTACTGATGTGAGTTGTCATTTGTTTTCTCATAAAATTGTTTTATGGCCTGATTTGATGGTGGTAAACTCTAGTATGGATCTAAACTGAACTGTTTCATATACTCAGGTTCCCTTACCGGAGAAGCCTGACACTGAAGATGAAACCTTGCTAAAGAACTGGAAGTGGCACTTGAAGTCAGTCAAGAAGGAGAACAGTGAAAGGCATTCTCAGAGATGTGATGTTGAACTCAAACTTGCTGTAAGAGTCTAAGGGGTCTTGCTATCCATTGTGGTGCCACAGTTTATTCAATCTTTTACTGTTTCATTTCATCTAATGCATACATATTCATTACAGGTTGCTAGAAAAATGAAGGATGAAGAGGGATTTTACTATCCACACAACCTTGATTTTAGGGGTCGGGCTTATCCAATGCATCCTTACCTGAACCACTTGGGTTCGGATCTTTGTCGAGGGATTCTAGAGTTTGCTGAAGGTCGGCCACTTGGCAAGTCAGGCTTGCGTTGGCTGAAGATACACCTAGCAAATTTGTATGCTGGTGGTGTTGATAAGTTGTCATATGATGGCCGGATTGCATTTACTGAGAATCATTTGGAGGAAATATTTGATTCTGCTGATAGGCCTTTAGAAGGCAAACGATGGTGGCTTGGTGCTGAAGATCCATTCCAGTGCCTGGCAGTATGCATGAATCTCACTGAAGCTTTAAGAAGCTCATCTCCAGAAACAACAATCTCACATATTCCTGTGCACCAGGTATTGATATTCTGTTCGAGCAAATCATTTTCCTTCTCAATTTTTTGAAGAGCAAATATAGTTGGAGATACTTTTTCCCAGATGTAAAATATCACTGTAGGGACCCACTCAACATATGTTTTATCTTTGAAATGTTGATCCAGGAAAAGTAACCCAATTTGAAATTTCCATTAACTTTTTTTAATATTTTAGGATGGCTCTTGTAATGGCCTGCAACACTATGCAGCACTTGGAAGGGATAAGGTTAGTTCATACCTGAATAGATTCAGTTGTTCTCGTTGATATTTTTTTGTCATTGCTATGGGTAACTGGCTACCTAATTTTTCTTGTTAAGTGACCTTTTTTATTAAATTTTTCCTAGTTGGGAGCCATTGCTGTCAACTTAGTCGCTGGAGAAAAGCCTGCAGATGTTTACACTGGAATAGCAACCAGGTATGTATTTTGTGTCAATTATATTTTGAATTGTAAGTCTGTAACTTGTTCATTGTAGTGCTTGATGTGCTTTGGGAACATGTAGCAGTCTATGTTTTGCATTAGTCTATCCTCCCATATTCACCCATCTGTTCTGTGTGGTCTTTATGGGTGCTGGGAATCACTTACCGCGACATATCTAAATAATCATGTGACCACGTTTGATTTCATAAAATGCTTTAGAAAAAGAAAGGACCAAATACAATTGAGGTGTAATTAATTTGTTTTAATTCCCCCGTCCAAAGTTATTAATGAGGATCAGCAAGGCACTAGGTACCAGCTGCTTTTACTACTTTCTAGATATATCCAGATTATTCCTGATTGTGAGTCAATCTTGGCAATTCATGTGACCTTACGTGATATGTCCTACAAAGCATGATGTCTTGTTGTCATCTGGTGCCCAGGTGACCCACCTGGGGTTCCTTTCTGAAAATATCCTTTTAACCTTTAGAATTTGTGAACTATTATTATTGAAGTCTCGTCATGAAATATCCCACGGGTTCAAAATTGATATGTTATGTCTTTGTAAGACAGTTGTGATGCTTCTTTAGTCTTTGTTACCAGTGTTGTCTGTTACTAAGAGCTTGGACCCTAAACCCTAGCCCTAAATCATCATAAACCCTAAATCTAAATCTAAATCTTTATTTGGATATCATTTTACTATTCATTTCTTCATCTTGATGCAACAGTTGACTAGCTAAGTTATATTATTTTGTATTCATAATGATGAATCTGTTGTGCTCCAGGGTGGTCGAAATTATGAGGATGGATGCACAAAAAGATCCTTCTATAGATCCTGATGTAGCTCGTGCTCGTCTGATAGTTGATCAGGTGTTGCTTTTTTTATCAGCATTCATATAAATTTTTAGTTGTTACTACATATTGCCTTATAAGATAGATAAGTTGATGGTCGAAAGTTGAAAAAATCGCATAAAAAAAAGACATATGGGCAGGCACTACAGGTGGAAGCCTTGATGCATGATATCATTTACAGGTGTCTTCATGCTAAACCAGCTAGGACCCTTCGATTTTTTATTTATTCTATGAATTTGCAATTGAATATTTTTGTTATTATTGCAACAACAACAACAACAACAACAAAGCTTTTAAGTCCCAAACAAGTTGGGGTAGGCTAGAGTTGAAACCCAGCAGAAGCCATCAAGGTTCAGGCACGTGAATAGCTGTTTTCCAAGCACTCCTATCTAAGGCTAAGTCTTTGGGTATTTTTGTTATTATTGCATGCTTGCTAAATTATTTCCTAAGGGACACCCTTTTAAATGTTTGAACAGTTAACAGACTGATTAACTATTGTTGCTGAAGAATGAGGATTACCATATTGTTCATAATGCGTTTTAGGAATCGATGCAAAACCCAGCTGGTCTATTTATCTATTAGCAGCGTGGCACTTCTTTATTGGGAACCATGGGAGTTTTCACTTGATGTAGAATCCTTCTGCCTAATTGGGTATTTTGTAATTAGATCTACATTAAGTTGTATACTGTAGAAAGTTTGTTAGCTCCATAGAGAATAATTGAAAGTTATGGGTCTAGTGTTTAGTGTTTACTTGTTAGTTTTATTTAATGGCTTATTTATCTAATGCAGGTTGATAGAAAATTGGTGAAGCAAACTGTGATGACATCTGTGTATGGTGTCACCTATGTCGGAGCACGTGAACAAATAAAAAGAAGACTAAAGGAGAGGGGGGTTATTCCTGATGAAGCGGAACTGTTTGGTGCATCATGCTATGCTGCTAAGGTGGAAGATCCTATCCAGTGAAGTTGTTTAGATTCTCTGTTCTATATGTCTAATCATCATTTTTTTATCCTTGATAGGTTACTCTTACAGCACTTGGTGAGATGTTTCAAGCTGCCCGTGGTATCATGAACTGGCTTGGTGACTGTGCCAAGGTACGAGCCATAGTATCATATTTCTCTTTTGACATATTCATTACACTGTTCAGTATTGCATCCATTTTAGAACCATGTTTGGGCAGTTTCAGTGTGTCAAGGCATAGAGATCTGACCTTTTTGCAGTTAATTGCAGTTGTGGAAGGCTGTGAGAAATCTTTTGGGGTTTCTTTTTTTTTTATTATTATAAACAGTTTAGTACAGTATATGAAACCTAGATAAGTTTTCATTGACTAAATGTTTGCTGATTATTTGTGTTAACATGCTGTGTATTCTGATGATTTATTTCCCAAGAATACACAAGTGAAATGAGTGGCTTTAATATTAACAGAGGCAAAATAAAAACTATAAAGACCTCAACCTCCTGTACACCATAATTGGCGTGAACTGTAGTTAGGTTTAAAAGACTTGAATGAATGAAAACGACTTGTGAGGATTTGTATTTCTCAAGGTGAATCATTCTCAATTAGCATTCAGCTCTGATGTCCGTTAGTGGTCTGCTTTAGAGGTCAACATATGTTCTCTTTGTAATGGAGTTTTCCTGATATACATCTGTGCCAACCTATTTTTGCATGACAGGTAATTGCTTGTGAAAATGAACCAGTGAGATGGACGACTCCTCTTGGGCTCCCAGTTGTGCAACCATATCGCAAACTTGGGAGGCATCTTGTAGGTGTTTCAGTAGAATTGTTTTATTCTTGATCTCCTGTTCTTTTGACACTCTAGGGAGGAAATAGTCATGTTCTTGTTATTGACTTTGATATTAATGTTTGCCTTGTAGATTAAAACGTCACTGCAGGTTTTGACCCTTCAGCGGGAGACTGATAAGGTACACTGTTTTTTGCATTTGGCTTGTTAAAATAAGTGGCCATTGGTTACTAGCTGCTGATTGAAATGTCCATTGTGATGGCATGGACTTGTGGCTTGTCTAGTGTCAGAAAGGTCTCACTGTTTAACTTATGGGTTCATCTTTGGAAATCTTGTGGTACACCTAGGTGCAAGTTCCAACCACAGGTGGAACATAAGAGCACCTGTTTTTGGCCATCTAAATTTTGTGACCTCATCTCTCTTCTTTTGCTAGAGTTATGACCACACGGGGAGATAGAATGGCATTTTGAAGTATCTCATCCTTTTTTTTTTTGAGTTAGGCCCAGCTGCTTTAGTTGGCTCCTGATCTGTTGCCATTTTTAGTCTCATGGATATGTTCCATTAATAGCTAATGGTAGGAGATCACTTTCTCTTTTCATAACGGTGATTTCTGTTTGGATACCTGGGAACTTAAGAGGCAAGGGACTAGTACTATGCATCATTGTATATCTCTCTTCTTTTACCTATAAAATGGGCTGCTAATCAAACGATTAGCTGAGACTCGAGACGCTTATGAATCGTAGTGGTTTGGTCATTTGAATTGTGGTGGTCTATTTGCTACCATGGTCACTGTACTTATGTTGGAGTATACTTAATAATTAATCAATCAACCAGGTTATGGTGAAGCGGCAGAGGACAGCTTTCCCTCCAAACTTTGTGCATTCTCTTGATGGCTCTCATATGATGATGACTGCTGTTGCTTGCAAAAGGCAAGGTCTGAATTTTGCAGGTTAGTGCTTTTCATTATTTTCAACAACAACAACAACAACATAGCCTTTCAGTCCCAAGCAAGTTGGGGTAGGCTAGAGTTGAAACCCACCAAGAGCCCAAAGTCACGGTTCAGGCACTTCAATAGCTGCTTTCTAAGTACTTCTATTCAAATATAGATCTCTAGTTATATCCCAAGCTTTCAAATCTCTTTTTATTGCCTCCCCCCATGTCAATTTCGGTCTTCCTCTACCTCTCCTCATATTATTAGCTTGGCTTAGGACTCCATAATGCACTGGTGCCTCTGGAGGTTTCCTTTGGACATAGCCAAACCACCTCAACCGATGTTGGACAAGCTTTTCTTCAATTGGTGCTACCTCTAGGCGATCACATATATCATCGTTCCAAACTCGGTCCATTCTTGTGTGACCGCAAATCCATCGCAACATATGCATTTCTGCAACACTCAGTTGTTGAAAATGTCGAATCTTTGTAGGCCAACATTTTGCTCCATACAACATAGCCGGTCTAATCGCCGTTCTATAGAACTTGCTGTGGTACCCTCTTGTCATAGAGAATGCCAGAAGCTTGTCGCCACTTGATCCACCCTGCTTTGATTCTATGGCTAACGTCCGCATCAATATCTCCATCCCTATGTAGCGCTTTTCATTATTTTCAAGGATAACATTTTCTTGATAGGTTCTGGAGAGTTTTAGTAGGCCCTTTGTAAATCATGTGATGGTAGAAGTGAGTTATTGTTGATATTTTTCCTAAATCCATGCAGGAGTTCATGATTCATATTGGACCCATGCCTGTGATGTTGATACAATGAATAAAATACTTCGGGAAAAGTTTGTGGAACTCTATGGTACACCTATTTTGGAAAATGTATGTAGCTCTTGTCCCAGCTGTTAGCAGAGATTGAACAATGTCTATCTTGTTTTGCAATTGTTTGGTTGAAAATTGATAAATTTCATTTTTTAACTAACATATTTTGATGCAGTTGTTGGAGAGTTTCGAGAAATCTTTCCCTAAATTAAAGTTCCCACCGTTGCCGGAGAGGGGAGACTTCGATATGAAGGAAGTCCTCGAGTCTCCGTATTTTTTCAACTAGCACAACTATGGTAACAGTCTATACACGTTGCTGCCCGGACATATCTGAGTTCTTAGTGTAGAGCCACCAACTCGAATGATGAAGCTAAGTCTTTACTGGCTGATGTGCCACCACCAACTAGGCATCGTACATGAACATAACCCCAAGAGTGGCTTTGCAGAAGTACACAGAAGATATTCTCACTGAGCTGCACGGGTCGGTACTCTGAGCACTCACAAATGCATCGGCATTATTATCGCCTTGAAGATGGCAATGAATTTTGTGGATTTATGCAAACATCAAACAAGCTGAATAAAAGCGGGAACCATGCCAAAGTTCAACGAGGGTGGGGGCTGTCAACATTTCAAAGGATCTGGGATCCCTGTAAATGTAATTATGTAATTTTTGTCTTCTATTGTTTTTATTTTTCTTGATCTTGGACTGTCGAGTGAAATTCGGCTGACCGGTAGTTTGTCGGCTGGTGCTGACGAAAGATTATTTCTTACTTTGTACGTAGTTGAATAATATAATTTAGTAATAAAGTGATATAGTGGTTTCCTTTTAGCTCTGCATAAAGTTGGACCTTTTTTTTTCTTGATTGAGTAAAAAGAACGGAAACTATCTGTAAGATGCAAATACTGATTTTTTTTTTTTTGGTTGTGTGCGAATTGCGAGTTCGTAGCGAGATTTCTGTACTACTCCGTATGTTGGATGATGCATTCTTTAGTTACCGGTTGGCTGGTTTGAGATTTCTGTACTACTACGTATGTTGGATGATGCATTCTTTAGTTAGTACAATTAGACTGACATCTCATTCAATCACTGTCGGTGGTTTGCTGCTTGTTTTGTTTAGCGTTTTGCTCGTCTAAAATGCCATCAACGATTTTAAAAAAAACTCGTAACTACTATCCAGGCTTCAAGCAATTTTTATCTATTAATTACTCCTTAGAACTGCAATAAAAATAATTACTGCTGTAGCATAAGGTTGTTTTATACTGTAGGTGCTCTCGCATAGTTCCAGTGCTTGCATCGCAGCAGACTGGAGCAGCGTTATCCTCCATGCCGTGCCGTGCGATCGAAGACCAACGGCGGCGATCCTTTAAACACGTTGCCGATTATCACTCCCACGTCATCGTCCCCACCTCGTCGTCCTCTCCTGACTTGCTGTTCTTCTCCGTCGCGTCACGTTACAGCGGGCAGCCAGCCAGGGCGCGCGGCCCCGAGAGAAGACGTGGTAGCGGAAGCGGCGGCGTGGAGGGATGATCTCGCAGTTCTTCGTGCTGTCGCAGCGCGGCGACCACATCGTCTTCCGCGACTGTAAGATCTGGATCCCGTCACGTCCCCCGCCGCCCGATCTGGGCGGAATATTTTTTGTTGCGTATTATTCGCTGCGATCCTGAGCTGATTCGGTGGAAGCTTTCTGCGGGCGTTTGTGGGGTTGGGTGCAGATCGCGGCGAGGTGCCCAAGGGCAGCGCGGAGATCTTCTTCCGGAAGGTGAAGTTCTGGAACGACGACGAGGCAGAGGAGGCGCCCCCCGTCTTCGTACGTTTCTGTTAGTTATTCCCGCTCTCTTATTCAGACTGCAAATTTTGATGAACATCGGTAGACAACTTAGCAGTACTTGTGATGCTTGCCTCTTGTCAGCTGAATGATGTGCTTGCAAGCTTGTGGTTTAATCGGGACTAGCACTTTGATTATGTGAAATGTGTGCATTTATAAACCGATAAGCGGCGTCAAATTGTTGATTGAGCAGCCGTACCTTAGAAATTGGGATGGACATGCAGCAGAAGTTCAGCTGTGTGTAATTGTAATTTCCTTCATGTTATGCTGCCACCCATTATCTGTTACTATCAGGTACCGTGCAATCTGCAATGGACTATTTTTACTATAGCTACTCTATAGCTGTATAGGATTAACGGGAACTATGCTTATCAAGGAAAGCAAATTGCTATCCAATGAAAAATGGTTTGTAGTGTGATGTGCAGTTGTCTCTGTATCAGTTGTGTATGAAGCCTTCAGTGGATCATTTTGAAATTTTAATCTTTGACTTAAAACAGTACGTTGGCATATAAAACACTTGATTAAACTGAAAGAATAGTAGTCAGTTCATGTGTGTATGAAAAGTCAGTGATTCCACCTGTGATCTGCTTGTTGGTGTGTTGTTTTACTATTTGATCTGACAATCGATATTTTTACTTTTTACTATGACAGAATGTCGATGGGGTTAATTATATTCATGTCAAGGTCGCCGGACTATTTTTTGTGGTAACCACAATGGTTAATGTTTCCCCATCCCTTCTCTTGGAACTTCTTCAAAGGATTGCACGTGTTACAAAAGATTATCTCGGCGTTCTTAATGAAGATTCACTGCGGAAGAATTTTATTTTGGTGTATGAATTGCTTGATGAAGTCATTGTAAGTACTCTACACCATCTTTCCTCATGCCATTCTGAACTCATATCCTTTGTGACCTGGTTTTTAGGTCACTAGCAAAGCTTAATGTGTGATCTTTAATAAAGAAGTTGTTGGCTTCCATACTCCATAGTGATTAGTATAATTCATCTGTTTATGGGAATGCTTACTACCATCTTCTGTTAGCATCTGTATGGTTTTGCTAACAAGTTGAATTGTGCAATCAGGACTTTGGATACCCACAAACAACCTCTACTGAGGTTCTGAAGTCGTACATATTCAATGAACCCATTATGGTTGATGCTGGAAGGCTGCCACCGCTTGGTCCTGCTGCTATGTTCATGGTAACGTTTCTGCACATTACTGCAAGAAACATAACATTAGGGTTTCTTCACCGAGGAACATGTGTTCCAATGCTATTTGGGTAATTGCATAGTTTCATTTGACATCCTTGTCTTTTGCAGCAAGGCACAAAGCGTATGCCTGGTACAGCTGTTACAAAATCTGTGGTTGCTACTGAGCCAGGGGGGAAGAAGAGGGAGGAAATTTTTGTTGATATCATTGAGAGGATAAGTGTGACATTCAGCTCAAGTGTAAGTACCGGTCTATGTCATGCCTTGTCGTCACTAATTGTTTTCTCTTCAACATCTCAAGATATTCTGCCTTTTTTTTCCTTTTCTTTTCATGAAATCCTTTATGTATGCCCTGAATTTGTGGTTCTAAATGTTTTAGATAGTGATGATGCCCACTGCAAAATAATTTTTCATATATCATCATCTAATTTTGGTTTGCTGTTGGATTGTTGCCTTTACTGCCAGAAACTACCCTCTTTGCCATTTGTTCCTTATATCACTACTGTTAAAGTAGCTTCTGTGTTCACTATTTTTAGCTGGAATAAATAAAGATGACAGTCACTAGTGCATTGCTTTTATACTATGATACTCCAAATCCATGGGGTAGGGGGCCATTGAGATGAGTTATGACCATTTACTTCTCAATCTTATATATCTTGTGATATGATCTTCGTCCACTTAATGGTACATTAGAGCTACTAAATTCACTCGAGTTACTAAAGCCCAGTTCATTTTGTTACCTCATTTATTTTCCTGTGTTATGCTCTCTCATAGTATTGTTTTTCATGGAGCACTAATAGGCCAGTTGTTTCATGACTTCATTTTTCATTTCCGTCAAACAGGGCTATATACTTACATGTGAGATTGACGGAACAATTCAAATGAAAAGTTACCTCACTGGTAATCCAGAAATCCGTCTTGCTCTCAATGAGGATTTGAGCATTGGAAGAACTGGATCTTCATATGGTACGTCATTAACTTTTCCTTTGACAACTAGCTTAGGAAAACTATAATCTGAATGATGTATGGATATGACACAAGAAATATATTTCTCCTTGTTTGTCTTTCATGATGCTCTGTTGCTGTAACATTGGAGACCAGTCTATGATAAGCTTATAACGTTTCACTCATTCTGGAACTCATAATGTGATGAGTTATTCAATGCATACATTAAAGCAGTTACTAGTCACTATACTTATTTGCATTCCAAAGTGTTTTTGCACAAGTGATCCTTTAACTTGAACCTACTCACCACTTTAACCTCACTTATTTTTTTAGCATGCTAGTATTTCTGTCTCATTGTCATGGATATATTTCCGAATGCTGATCACATACAATATTACAATTTTTAATGCCAGATTACAGAAGTTCTTCTGGAGGAGGAACAGTCATTCTTGATGATTGCAACTTCCATGAGTCAGTACATCTGGACAGTTTTGACATTGACAGAACTTTGACTCTAGTAAGTACTCAAATAAGCTCTTCTGTCTGTCTGTCTGTTTGTTTTTTTGCAGAACACAAGCATTCTATTTACAGTTTATTACTTAAGCAACATTAGTGAACTTATACTTAGGATTGCAATATTGCATAGATACCACATGATGGAGAATTTGCTGTAATGAACTACCGGATGACCCAAGAATTTAAGCCGCCGTTCCGTGTAACCGCTCTAATTGAAGAAGCTGGACCATCGAGGGTATGGAATGCTTGTCTTGCTATTAGGCATTGATAAAAACTATGATTCAGTTTGGTGACACTACAGTTCTTTTATATCTACACAGGCTGAAGTTCTACTGAAAATAAGAGCAGACTTCTCGGCAAATGCCACTGCTAACACAATCACAGTACAAATGCCAGTGCCATCATACACAATGAGGTCAACTAGAGTTATATCTTTGTTCCTATGAAGTTATTTTTTTTTTGAAATATTGACTGATGCTTTTTTGGTTAACTAAATTTCCCCATCCGGGTTACATTGCAGAGCAAGTTTTGAGTTGGAAGCTGGAGCAGTTGGACAGACAACCGATTTCAAGGAAGGATCCAGGAGACTTGAGTGGAATCTCAAGAAGGCAAGTGCCAACAAGGATATGTACATCTTGCATAGGAATAGGATGATATGCATATGTACATCTTGCATAGGAATAGGATGATATGCATTTGCATTGTTAACTTCAAATTACTAACCGGTTTGCTGTAGCTTGCTAAAACAATTCTAACTTTACACTACAGATTGTTGGTGGTTCTGAGCACACCCTTCGTGCAAAGCTGACATTTTCTCAGGAGTCACATGGTACATGTTTTTTTGAAGCACTAATTATATACCCTGACCTGGCATTCCGGCAACATCATGTAATTTCCTGTTAGGCAACTTGCCGTGACATTCCCCTTTGTCAAATGCAGGAAATATCACAAAGGAAGCTGGCCCAGTGAATATGAATTTCACTATACCGATGTACAATGCATCAAAGTTGCAGGTAAGGCCGTCTACTGTGTATGGTACTTTTGTGGATTGTACCTATTGGCACTACAGGGCTTTAGAGTGTTTTGTTCTCCACTATTAAAACTGTTTGCCTAATCATTGTGACATGATTAATTATCTTTAGTTCATTTCTGAAACTTGTCTCTACAAGGTGCTATACACTTTTGGATATGTAGTTTTTATGATCCTCCAAGGCCTTGAGTGCTCAAAAACATTGGCATGCAGAATTATTGCAGAATGTTTCTGATCAACTATTAACTGTATTATTACTCTCCTGCAGGTCAGGTATCTTCAGATAGCAAAGAAATCAAAGGCATACAACCCTTACAGATGGGTGCGATATGTAACACAAGCTAACTCCTACGTAGCTCGTCTATGAGGAACCCGCATCTGTACACTTGTTTCCAGTCCAATTTTTTTGTGTAATATTTGAGCTTTATCATGGACAGAGTGGTATGTATTTGTAACTTTATAGTGGAATTCACAATACTGCTCAGCTCCCGCAGTTGAACGCATTTGTAGTATCATTTCTTTTTCTCATGCAATGTGCAGAAGAACGATTCATGTTTTTTGCTGCGAAATGTATGAAGTTCTTGTTCATGGCACTTGTGGGACATTGGGAGGTTTTGTCAGCAACAGCATAACCCTGTGCGCCTCTCCATATATCAGCAGATTTATTTAATAATGCAAGCTATTTTTTGTACCATATAGTAGGAACAAAATATATTAAATGATTGTAAAAACAGTTGTTTGAAATTTAAAGCTTCAAGAATTATTTATAAGTCAAAATATAGAGTTTATTTGAGAAAAGGAGCGTATTCTAAACAGATCATAAAATCTCATCTTGTCACTTGCAGCTTAAAGATTCATAAGAAAATGTGCAGTGAGGTGACAAGATTTTGGATAGGAGAACATCTATCGTGATTGATATCTCAGTGTATCTCTTTCTTTTGATGAAAAGTCACATGACATTCACATGACGAATGTACAAATCATCTTTATGCTCCATGCTGGTGCTCAGTATATCCATGCATAATCACATGAACACGAACCCCTACAACTTTAGATACACAATCTCAAGTGCTAAACAGGTCAACAAACCCAATCAACGGTCACCCCTGCCATTGCTACAATGGACATCCTACTACAAAACTGCAAGAGCAGCTCAACCAACAAATCTTTTCTGGGGGCACCCTGGGCCTGACTGAAAAGACGAGGCTCCACCCGAACAAGTGTCTCTATTCATGGATTTAATAGGAGCCATCCTCCTCAGATGCTTTGCATTATGGAAAATCACAGGTGATAGCCTGAGTTGAGGTGTTAAATCTTCCCAGCTGCTTCTGTACGCGCCCTTAGTGCCTCAGTGCGTTTACTCCTTTCCATTTCCTCCACCAACCAGTCTACACCATGTTTGATCCCCGTCCTGAAATGGAGGAATGAGCTGTAAAAACATATATTTTGTGTTCTGGTCGAAGAAACAAATGTTTTAAGTGGTAAGTTTGCATATTTAACTAATCATGTATTTATCCATCTCATACAAATATGAGTTAAGCAGCATAGTTGTTGACCCTTACTTTTTGGTTATTTGTTCGCATCCTACAAATAAAAAAAGGGCGTACCCAGTGCAGAGAGATCCCGCTCTATGCGGGGTCTGGGGAAGGGTGTCAGTGGCAAGCCTTACCCTCGCCTGTGTAATGCGAGGAGACCGCGACTCGTGTTCGCATCCTACAATGCTCACATAAATTCCTCAGTATCTGATGAGTAACTTTACCATGCTTCAGTTTTAGGTAAAGAAGTTTGAGAACAAGGAAAATGGTTGTTGAATCCTTATGCAGGTTGAGATAGTTTCTACCTAGTTTCAGCCTACGAGCTGTTTTGGGCAAGCGCCTTGTTGGGAACCCTTTGTTAAACGTGTGGGGTCGTTTTGGGCAGGCCTTACGTTATTAGCTTCTGGAAGTAGTTGTAGTCTTTATTCATGCATATTATTCCCTCTGTGAGCATCGGCATGAATACATTTTATGGTGATGGTTGTGTTTCGTGGTTCCTGAACTGATATTCTCTGTAATTTTGTTGCTAAGGTAATGAAATTCGGTTTTACCAGTGTGGAAAAAAAGAAGGAAAATGGTTTGCTCACCCATCAAAGGCAGATCCAGCCTGGAACATGCATGGCCTCTCATCTAACTCCTTAAGATGCAGATGTCTAGCCAATTCTTCCTCTGTGACAGCTGCTGGTGAATCCTGTTGAAAAATCCAGATAAGCCACGAAACATAGAATATAAGATTCATGAGATAAATGAGGACTTCTCATGCGAATTTATATATCCCAAAAAATGAACTGGGCAGGACTCCAGGGACTAGGACTAATGTTGTCAGTTCATTATCTTCCTCATGTTGTGAAACATCACAACTTCCAGAATAAAGAAAAACCGTTAAATTTCAAGAAAGTCTCACAGAAGTAAAAAAACGCAAGGTTGCTATATGTTTCCCAGAGAATATAACCACAGTTTCTGATTTACTGATTTGCCAGATCTAGGCTTCACAAAACTAACTACCCATCAAACTACATAAACCATGACATGGTTAAATTTACAACTACCATTCAGTTCATGTGGATGATAACTATTTTTCTGGAACTACTAATTTTCACCCAATAAAACACAGTTTATCAACTATTGAGTAAGTGCATGGATTTTTAAAAGGTAAATTATAAGGAGTATGTAAACCATTCAAGATAACTGCAGGTAGATGTCAACCTGCTTGTTTGCAAATATGAGTATTGGCGCTCCATGCAGATCTTCATGACGCAGAACTTTCTCTGCAATAAAAAGTTCAAATAACATTCACTACAGTAATGAATTAACTACCATAGTTTACCAGTTCTAACTACTAAGTACAGCTAATAGAAAAAAATACACGATATTTTTGTGATTATAAACAAATGGAAGCAACTTACCAAGAGCAGATTTAGCATCCTCAAATGAAGATGCAGAAGCAGAGTCGATAACATATATTACAGCATGGGCCTCCTCATAATATTTCTCCCATATTGTTCGTAGGCCAGGCTGTTAAAATATCGTATTAGTGTAACAATTTGAAATGACTAAAAAGAACATCTGAACCATGCTCATGAAATTATGGCATGAGGATGATTCCTGCTTCTTGTTGGAGAGAGAAGGTTATGTTTACATATTAATTGACAATATATCATTGGGTAATAAAGAAAAACAGCATAATGGCAAAGTGTTGGTACAGATCAAAGCCTATGCTCTTAAGAGGACATGATAGAAGATACACATTATTACATGATGACAGAACTCAATGAGGAAGTTTTTTCGCAGCCAATTGGAATCAAACAAAGGATGCAGATCAAGATCTCTGCAGCACTGAGATACAAGCTTATAATACACCAAATTTAGAGAAAAATGATCTAGTGGAACAACATCAGAATACGATCACTAAATGCCCCATAAATACAAGCCCTTGTTGATTTTTTTAACTGCATGTGGACATGGACCAACATGAAAACATCATCACTACTTGCTCTGAATACAAGCACACGCTTCAATACTCTACTAGAACTATAGCAGAGTACCAGACCACTGGGCCTCATGTAACCATGTAAGCATGCTGATTATGTGGTAAAAACTGGACTTGAGTAACTAAGTTGCTAACTACCTGATCCAAGCATTTCTGTTTGCAAATTGGAATGAGTTATATACTTCTATCACCAGACATTATAACAGGAACATGTAGAATCAACATGCATAATCCTAACTTAAATTAACTGGCAGCCTATTGACCAAAGCATTAATAACCACAAAAAATGTCAAATGGTGAAGTTTCAACGAAGAGATTGCAATTGAGGAACTTTTGGTCTGTAACTCTGCAGGGAAAATCGTACCTGGCCTCCCAGATCCCAGAAAACAAGCTTTACATTCGCATCTTCAATACGCCCAATATTAAGCCCGACTGTTGGAACAATGCGATCATGCGGAAGCCCTTCTCCCTTCAAGTAGATCGACTTCAACTTTTCTAGCAAGGTCTGCATAGTAATGTTTCAACATTAAGTTTTAATACAGACCTGGTTCAGATAAACACGAAATGGACTCAACCTAATCCCAGCATCCATTAACTGCAAGGAATTGTAGAGGGGGAAAACAGTACACAAGCTTCAGAAGAAGAATTACCGTCTTGCCAGACTTATGAACTCCGAGGATAAGCACATGGAACTCTGTCTTGCTGAAGACATGCTTCCATAGACCATAGAACAAGGAGAACATAGCGTAAGTGTAAGGTTCTGAGCTTCCCCAATCAGCTACCCACCACCTGAAATATTAACATAAGTCACACATATTTCTCATCCACGATCCACAGATTGCGTCGCATAATCAATTCAGAAATTGGTCACGAACATGCGGCAGGTCTCCAACAAAATGACAAGGATCATGCCTGCTAAATTACAACCCCACACCCCCACCAACCCCCGCCAAATACTTGCAGACAAATCGGCAACAAAATGCGAATGGATCAGACCACTCCCATCCCAGAAAGGAAACTTCGTATTCGAGCGTTCACAGCAAAGAAAAAATTCCCACATAACAGAACGAACGGTCGGTCCAAAGTCTCCAAGAGCAAGGGCTTCCTCACCAAGGAACGAAGCGATCGACCCGATTCAGGCGGATGATCCCCACTCCACGGCAGTGGCGTCGAGGGGAAGGGATAACGGCGACGCCTGCAGCTGGCTGGATCTGGATCGCGGTCGCGGGGAGGGAGGCGGTGGCGGGCTGAGCCGAGCCGAGCCGAGCCAACGGGAGCCGGTTCCTTCCCGGTGGCCTCTGGCCTGTGGAGGGTGGACTCGGTTGGTGGGCGGCGAAACCGACAACACACGCACGGACGCACGGTGGGCCTAGAGAAACTACAAGATGAGCCCATGCAGGTTACTGTGATAATCGGGCCCCTATCACTGATGATAGATCAGGCCCAGTGAACCTTGCCGGCCCACTAGGCCTTACGTTTCTGTTCTTGCTCTTGCCTCTCGCACGAGTGTCCCCGGCTCCCGAGTCGTCTTCTCGGGTCTTCAAGCCACGCCGCACCACGCTCGGCAAGGAAGGTGCGGCTGCGACTGCGACACACAGTAGGCGAGGGTAAGGAGAGGCGGCGCGGCGAGCGGCCAGGAGATCTGCGCGGCGGGCAAGGTGCGCCCTTCTCTTCTGCTAGATCGCGTAAGAGTTAGGACCGATCTGTTCGCGCGGGGAACGCGTGCACCGTCCTCGCTTGGTGATTTGCCGGGTCTGATTTCGTAGATTTACTCGTTTGTTTCGCTGGATCGGTGTTTGGCTGCGTGCAGTGGCGAGAGGGGGCGCGTTGTTTCTCCGAGATCTCGCGGTCAGGACACTTTTACATCTCATGACTCGAGATCTCTAGCGTGTCAGTTCCAAGGATCTGTTCCACGGCGGATGATTTAGACTAGCTCGTTGTACTTGTTCGCAGATGTGAGCTGGTCTAGTACAATTCTGGGTGGTATACTTTACAAGTCGCCCAATCGAGGCCATGTTTAGTGCAGTTTTGCCATGGTTGAGTCAAAGGGGATTCCCTTTAGCCATTTGCTAGGTGCACTATAGTAAGTTATGAGATGATTTTTTTTTTGTAATTATCCAGTTTTAGTTCAGTAAAATTCTCACAAGTCGGTTGTGTAAGACTCTTGTTATATGCTTTCTTAAGGAGCAGGATTACCCTTTATAAAAAAAAAAAAAAACCATGCAAGTCACACATGAAGAATGGCCTATATCAAATGGAATTGATTTGTTAGATTAGATCATGGTAATTATGCAATGCTTATAGGTAGTGCAGCCATGATGTGGCTGAAAACTTCGTGACCGTATTTGATCAGCTGTGGCTGATGACCTCTATTGAAAATTAGGCTAGCTCTTGCTGTAGTTTTGCATATGTCATGAGCATGGTCTGCTCATTCTTTTGGTCATGCCATCCTTTCTACAGGACATGGCAACAACCTCTGAAGTTCTGTCACTGTTGCTTCTGTTTGAAATTCCTGGATAATGCACCCCTGAATTATCAGAACCGACATCATGCTGTTCATGTTGAATGGTTATTTAGCACTTAACACCATCTTGCAGTTTACTCTTGGCAGTCGGCACTATGGTCATAATTTTCTTAATCATGATACACCATCGGACTGCCCAAAGCTATCTAGTTGTCGTGACACCCTATCCCATCACTGAACTGCAGGAGGCAAGGAACTTGTTTTTTTTCTCCTTACATGGATGAAACGTCTTATATATTGAGTGAGACATTCCTCAATCAATGTATATCTGAAGATATGGATGCAATTAAACTCACTCTATATATATTCCTACATTTGTTAGAATGTGTACCGGTGATACTGACTAATGATATCCCAATTTGTCATCAATCTAGATATTGTGTAGCGGCAATGTTAGCCTCCACAGCTCTGAAAACATGTTTGGAGTTAGAGTATGGGGACGGTTAAGTAGGGTTTTTTTTCCACGTACTGTATTTTGTATTGATAACATCTGTCCAAAATTCAAGATGAGACTGGTTTATAGTGTTTCACATTCTCCTTTTCAGAATCATGCATAGATGGTTTATAATCTATAACCTCTCTCTTTTTTTTGTGTCCTTGTGGTTACTTCTATGCGACACTGCTCTTTACCAATTATAAAAAATAGTGTGCATTACTTACTGAATATTAGTGGTAACCAAAATCTGTTTGCAATCTTAATTTCAGATGTTTGACGATCAAGACCTGGGCTTCTTTGCCAATTTCCTGGGCATCTTCATCTTTGTGTTGGTTATTGCGTACCACTTCGTGATGGCAGACCCGAAGTACGAAGGAAACTGATGTTCTCTCACGCAAGATCTTATGATCTGCAGGCCGTAATAGGGCTATACTGTTAGTTAATGCTAGCGAGATCACTTGACATTTTGAGTGCATATCATGGAAGCAGTTCCTGGCATTTTGACTTTACCATGTTTTAATCTGCTGAATCAGTAAATCCTGGAGAATTCAAAAGGCTATTCTGAGTACCGCAGTTGGTTGTTAGTCCTTGTGTCGTGCTTTTTATGTTTTTCGGTGTATGCTTGCCAGATTCTAATCAAAATCTTCCTTTGTTTTACTGTCTATTTAGCTATTTATTAGTTGGTGGTTAGCATGTACGCAGGTAAGAACCAGATTTGGAGCGATTACTCAGTCGATTTTTAGGCATTTGATCCAAAGCTTAAATTACTATAAACGAGCACGGGCCTTAGATGCAGGACTGTCTGTTGCCTGTTGGGCATTCGAGTGTTTCTTGAATCTTGATTGCCCTTGCACTCGAATTTTCTTCTACCTATTTTTGCAGGTGCCTGAACCCGTTCTCCTGTTCGCTCCTACCCTGCGCTCTTGCCCTAGTCCCCTGAACCCTGATCCCCTCGAGCTTCTGCTCGTTACTCCCAAACTCCAACCAAGACTCAGCCATTAGCGTGCGCATGTAGGCGGCAAATCAAATCAGGTAACATTGCAGGGAAGAAAGGTGAGTAGCGCATGTCTGTAAATGAAAAAAAAAGGGAGTATCAAGCATGATGTTTCCTTTGCTCAAGTTTTCGTTCCATCTTGCTCGTCCAGGCATGGCCGCATGAGCAACAAACAGACTCGCAGCACAACTGCACAACCTAGTAGCCTTGTAAACATCGGGTAATAGCAGCTTCGCTGGGTGTGCCGGTATGGCGACGCGCCGTGCGGCCAGCTGCCGCCAGCATCCCAAGCAACGGTAGGTGCAGAGGAGCAGCCTTCCGCGGACTTCACGACTTCGCTGCAGAAAATAGTTTGACACCGGTTACAGCAAACCAACCTCTCTCGCGGCGAACGTGTCTCCTCTCCTTTCTTCCGTCCTGACCTCCAAGCCTAGCTAGGCCCGTACGCCGTGTATCCTCTCCTTTCTTCCGTCCTGACCTCCGTAGCAGAACAAAAACAAGCATTCTCTCTTCAACGAGAAAGGAGGAGAGGCAGCTGTAGATACAATACAAGCGATATCAATTCGATAATGATACGGACATCTGTCCCGTGACTCTCGTCCGAAAGTGCTCCTGTAAAAAAAATGAACGAAAAAATCACAGTCCACTCGTTCTATTCCCCGCGGCGTCTCCATCCCCGTCCCCACCCGGACGCCGCGCCCCACTCCACGCTAGCTGCTGTTGTCTTCACCCGTCGCTCGTTCAAGCCCCATCCCGTGCTGTGACGCTTTGGCTACCCGTCCCGCGCCGCACTCCATCTTGCGCTGCGCCACGCCCCCATCTCCTCCCTCACCTCCACCTCAAGATGGCAACGGGTACCCGAAACCCGAGTACCCGACGGGTTTTACCCGATAAGGAGGCGGGTATGGAAGACATTTTGCACCCGTGGGTACGTTATTGGAATTAATTCTTGTACCCATCGGTATGCGGCGAATGCAGGTGTGGGTGTAGAGTATTATCCATACCGCAGATACCGTAAAAAACCCGTATAAATAATATCCAACCTCTACAATTTTAGCCCATATAAGTATATAGCCCATATTTGGCCCATATAAGCATATGAGTATATATATTCTAGAACTCGTCAAACCCTAATCCTCATCCTCACTCCACTCCACCAACCCCCTTTTTTTGCCACTTTGGAAGCTATTATATTTGGTGTGTGAACTTCGGGTCCGTCGGGTAAGAATTCCCGTCGGGTGTGGGTATGGAATGAATTTTCTACCCGCATGGGTACTGGGTAACCCGACCGGCGGGTCGGAGTGCACGGTGGCCGTTGTGCGGTGTGCGATGCTGTTGCCATCTTGACCTCCACCCCCACCCACACAGTTGCGTCCATTCCCACGCCGTCGCTGCCCGGCCGGTCGGCTCCGATGGGTTCGTGCTGTTGGTGGTGGCAAGGGTGCTGCAGCAGACACGTCGTGGGGCTGGCCTAGGAGATGGCGCTCCTCATGGGCCCCCTCTAGGTGGCGGCCCTCCTCGGCCTCCTGCTCGGCTGGGCCTCCTTCTCCACCGTTTCCACTCCAATCCCCACCAAGTAGGCCGTGGCCGCTGTTTCAACATTGTGTCTCAAGTGTTTTAGACGTTTCAAAGCTATATTTCAAATATTTCATTTGGATGTTGCAAAAGTAGATTTGAGATGTTGCATATGTTGCAATAAAAATATAGGCATGTTGCAAGGCTATTGTGGCAGAACCGTCTAATATAATGCCATCCCAAGAGTACTTATCTTTCATTAGACACTAAGTAC